CCAGGTTGCAGCCTAAACGGATGGACAGAATTGAATAAAATTTTGCCAATGTATTGCCATGACTCCTAGACCTATAATAGGGTAAAAAATTGGAACTCGCCAAGGGGTGAGGGGGATGGGGGAATACCTCCCATAGTGAAATTTTTTAATCAGCTCTAACTTCGGAATTATAGTAACATGAACTCGAAATTTGAAATGTACAGATACCTATGGTAGGTGCTTATGGAAAAATATATGTATATAAGTGAGTTTGTAAAAAGGGGCGTGGCACATCTCATAGGTGTGAAATCTTTTATCAGCTATAACAGCAAGCAGTATTAGTGATCTCAATGTATTGCGTTTTGAAGATTTGTTATAATTGATCAACGTGAAATTCAGATAAATTATAGATGAAGTGAAGTTCACCGGGTCATCTTCTAGTCTTTAATATATACTAAGTTAATATATGTATTAATATTTACTAAAGTGTTACGAACATTATTTTTTTAAAACAATAAGAAAAAATAACTATAATTTAAAGGAGTGACACACAATGGCTAGAGACGTCGCATGTGTGTATTCTTCCATATATTTGTACATATATATGGGCCGTTCTTACCGTTATATATTTTTCATCCACTCGCTTATTCCTTACCGCAAATTTTAAATAAAAATTTAACAAGTTTTAAACGCTGACACAGTACAGGCAGCAGTTTAAAATGGGAACTGGGTAAACTTAATAAAGAAAACATATTATCTGGTTAAATTAATAAGCCTGTCCGGATAACACAAAATCCCAAGCTTGATAAACATTTGGTGTTATACAAGTTTTATAAAGCTCTACTTGTATTTAGGAAAAATGCCGAAAAAAATAATAAAATTGATTGATTGATTGGTAAAAATAGAGAGGGAGTTATGGCTATGACAATAGAAAGTAGAAAAAAGATACCTTGTGTTGAAAGCAAAAAGGATCTGAAACAAAAAAAAATATAAATACATTGTTAATCATAACAAAATTTATGATTCGAAAAATAATTTGGAAATATTGTATTGTGTAATTTACTGTGCCAAAACTTTTGTTCGACACTGTATATAAAAAAACATACAGTAACTTCTCCCGTTACAATATTTATGTATGTTACCGGATAACTTTGGACTACGTTATCCGTTTTTTTTCAATTCTTTTTTAAAGGAAAGGTGGTTCCTCAGAGGTAGTCTCCTACTAACTGAATGTAGATCCGATAATTGGGCCATAAAGAAAATAACGGTACTCTTAAATTTGTATATGAGAATTGAAGTCGGTTTTGTTTTTTGTTTAAAATTTACTTCAGTGTCCACAGTTTCTATAAAAGAGTCGTAGGTAGGGCTGTGCGATTATTCGATTACGCGAGCAAGTTGGTTAATCAGCTATTCGGTTAATCAATTACTCGAGTAATCAAGATTTTGATTACTCAAAACGATGATTAATCGAGTTACTTGAAATATGACTACTCAAAAAAATTAGTTTTGCTCGTTAAAAGAGTTTGCTTTGGAAAATGCTTCTTTTCTTTTTTATGTTCTGTATATGAAAAAAATATGTATGTATGTATGTATTTCATTTTAATTTTTGAAAACAGAAACGTTTTTTTCAAAGTATCAAGGAACTTCAACTGCTTTATATGTATGTATTTAAAGAGTACTTTGAAGTGTTGATTACTCATTTTATTCATAATGTTGATTAATCATATAGCAAATTACTCAAATATTTTTGTTTTTGGTTAATCAAAATCTTGATTACTCGAGTAACTGAACTTTTGAGTAATCATAATGTCCAATTAATGGAATAATTGAGTTATTTACTTTATGATTAATTAAAATTTTGAATAATCAATTAATCGCACAGCCCTAGTCGTAGGCCATATTTTTTTGTTAGTTCAATTGTGGAACATTTGTATGAACTGCTTCGGCTAAAACTTCGGCTTTTGTTCTCTTTTTATATCGAGGCTTAGTGCATTGTTCGATGGGGTGATATCTTTGCCAAACATGATAGTACTTTGTTTGCCATCAATAAACACTAACTTGACGGAGTTACAGTATTCTACATTGATGCGAGCCTCAAAAGCTTTGAATAATAATTGCGAGTATGGCCTTTAGTTTTTACCGCTCAGGTAGATAACAGGCCTATAGAAAATATTTCTTAATCAATAATTTTTCAAATACTTTTCGCTTGACACCTATATTATTATACATACCTTATCTTATTAACTTTATTGAATTAAATTTTCGAAATTGGTGGCAACTCGACTCAAAAATATTTTCAGTAGTAGGCCTTCTTAAACCTTTTTACTTTGATACCCATATTGCAATATTTAATTTATCTTACCAATTTACTTTAATTAAATTTTGAAACAGGTGGCAACCCCCCTGAAAAATATTTTCGCCTGTAAGCCTTCATAACCTCTTTCTTTTGACACCCATATTGCAATATCTAATTTATGTCATTAATTTACTTATACTGAATTTTTAAACAGGTGGCAACTCTCTATTTTTTCTCGTTTTAACCATCCGGATATTATAAAAAACAAACCAAAAAAATAAAAATATTCAAGTCGGTCAAGCCGTTTTCGAGTCTTAGCGAGGCTAACGGACAGCAATTCATTTTTGTATATAAGATATCTTCTTTTAAAAATGCGCAGGCTCGAAATTGACTTTAGAGCTATGGTCTGGAGGAATTTTTTTCTTAGAATTTTATGAAGAATCCGAATATGCTAGGAACAATGTCGAAAAAATCAATCCATACAAATTGACCCGCCCTAGTATGTATGTACATACCGATTTTAACCCTTTCCCTGTATTTGTACAATATATTGTACATTTAATTTTTTGTAACATTGGAAGCGTGCTACTAAAAATCTTATTTATATTTTTGAAAACAAATTAAACTTTATGAAGTTTTGGAATGTCCCGAATTATTATTGTCGGGGATAGAGCACTGCGACCTTAACGTAAATTTCAAAATCGAAAACGTTTCAAAAATATTTTTAGAATTTAATTTAAAAATAAACCATTTTATAAAATTCCAGTGACACGCAAGTTGTGGTAATTTACTGTACAAAAAATACGTGAAAGTCAAGTAAACCCGCTAATAAAAGCACATCAATAGTATGGAAATATAAAAAGCATTTCATCATATAAAAATGCTAAAATTAAACTATCATGATTTAAAATATTTTTCCCGAGTGGTAAAACAAAATTTACAATATATTGTACATTTACACTGAAAGGTTGTAAGTGTCTTGTACAATATATTGTACAAACGTCCGCAAAGGTTGCAGTTGAACAGGCAATTAGGGTGGTTTTTGCCGTGGTTTTTGAAGAGCTTGTGCGCTGTTGTTGCAGTAAAGGGTAGGTTTTTGATTCCTTGATCTACTGAAGGCAGAAAAACCGAGAAGGTTTATTAAAACAGGTCATTTGTATTTTATATTGTAATTGTATCTGAAATTATTCAAAATTTCTTTATATAATTCTCTTCTCATGGAGAAAATTTAAAATTTTTTAATGCAAATTTTAACTAAAGATACTCAAAAAGATATAAAATATTCATTCCACATATTTACAGTAAAATACATTATTTTGTACATACCTAAGTTCATTTTCAATGAAATAAAAGTTTTATTCCGTCAAACTTAGTGAAATATTTATTGAGTTTTCTTGAGTGCTTTTACTCCTTTGCGGACTTTTGTACAATATATTGCACAAATTTGAGGTAGCCCTAATAGCTACGCAAAACAACTTTTGAATATTTTTTTATTACTTTTGGTATTAAATATGAGGCTCTATAAACCTTGTAATTAAGAGGAAACATTTTTATATTCATCAGGGACGGATTTGACCGGAAAGGGTTAAAGTAAAATCTAAATACCTAAATACATATATATGTATGTATAAAAACTGATAAATAAAGATTTTAATCTTTTAAGACAATTTGTGTTTTCTGTTTTCAATATAATATAAATAAGTATGTACTCATCTAGGCATTCTACATTAGTTTCTCTGTAAGGCATTCTTTGTTCGCTTCTCTGGATTCTGTTTATCCATGCGTTCCCCTTCGTTCGAAAGTAATGCTGCGGGTAAGGGCCTACGGCCAATGACATGCCCATGTTAAAATAATGCCTTCTTGAAGCGAAAGGGTAAGCGATTCCCATCGCCTAGCTCGTTTCCACTTACGTTTCTGTTGTAATCGTGTTTTTTGCTGGGTTTGTTCTCTCAATTTCCCCTACTTTGCAAGTTTTTTTGCGTACGCGAACACAAAAAGCTGATAGTTTTTATCACTTTCAATAATTATCAGGCACGCAAATGCAACTAATTGTGAACGCTATATTGACTTTACGAATTTCATTGGAATAGAATGGAAAATATACGGCATGCAGCTGTTTTCAACAGCGGATATTTTAAATCTGGTCCTTGCTGCCGGAATTCAAGTAATGGCAGGGATTTATGTTGCATTTCCAGTGCCTTATCTTCTTTTAATTCCAAAAACTTTAACTCTTCTTCGGGTTTTTTAAAAAGGAGTATTTCGGATATTGTAAATTCATCCTCAGTTATGTTCCATAACAAAGGGTTTATGAAGTATGCAAACGTACATTTAAATAATTTCGAATCGGCAAATCTTTTTTCACAATCTGCTTTCAAGTCATGCGAAATATTTTTTTCTAGCCATGAAAAATGATGCAATGTTATTTTTTTGAGATCATGAATAAAAAGACGTAGTTTAGCTTCAAAACTTAAAATAATTTGCGACAAATCAAAAACATTTTTATTCTCGCCTTGTAGAGACATTTTCAAGTTTTGCAAATGTTCCATTATCATTTTCATTCTCCAATTGCGAGTAATGTTCCGATCTCAATTTGCGTATGTGTATATAAAAAGAATAAAATAAAAAAACAGCACAGTGGAAAAGAATGTCCAGCAAAGAAACTTGCATTTTAAAAAGTAAAACGAGCCAAAATGTTCTAAGCAAAGGTAAAGTAATAGGAGCCACACTTTGCTAAGCAAAGAGCCGCATTTGGCTCAAAGAGCCGCGTTTGCCCACCGTTGTAACTATACCATTTGAATGTCAACCATCTTCGATCCTGTTTTTCTTCATAAGTAACTCGGTCTTGACACGCAACAGAGTAAGCTGATGTTTTTGTAAATGGCACTTCGCATTCGCTTGAAAGGGCACAATCCATTGGAGCCTAGTGCGGCATTACGTTCTAAATAAGAAAGACAAATATGTATGTAAATGCTCATATTTGATAACCGAATTTTTATATCTGGGTCTTTCATTGTCAACGGTAATGCCCGTTACGCCCTTTTAAGATTTTTTGAGTATCAAAGTTCCACAAAGTTTAAGATGACGATATTTGTGGTATTCACAACGGTGTCGTCTTGTTGTATGTTATAAACTTTATTTTGATAAACCTCAAAGGACGTGAAACCACAATCAACTATTTTTTAACAGTGTGAAATATTATAATGATATGTATGACTTTTATGGTACCTTGCGAGTCCTCCCAAATATTTATATTTTTAGCACTTTAAAGTTTACGACATCCAACAATGCGACACCGTTGTGAACAACCCAATTATGTGTTTAACCGACTTCAAAAAAAGGAGAAGGTATCAATTCAATTTTTTTTGTATGTTAGCGCATAATTTTGTACCACGTTCTATAATCTTTTTTTAAAGGAGAGGTGGTACCTCCGAGGTGGTCTCATAATAGTTTGGTTTAGATACGATCATTGGATCATGAAGTATTTAACGGTAATCTTAAATTTGTATATGATAATTGAAGTCGGCTTTGTGTTTTATTTAAAAACTTCTTGTTGTATTAGAATACGCCTTACTTACCAATATAAGCTTTATTCTGTGGCATGTATTCCTGCATTTCAGTAAGCAGCCTTGCGATTTCTTGCGAGTCCTTTGTAATACTATACAACTCTTCCTGATTGAAGTCGGGTGTTATTTGTTTGCAGAGCAAAATTTGACTCATTACATTTCCCAGATTTGAAGGTCCAGCACGATTTTCTGTAATATTTTTTTTTATATTCGTACTCTTACTACTATATATATAGTAATGGGAATATACAACTTCGTTTGATATTACAGTAATTTTCGGATATAAGAGCCGGGCAAAATGCGCGAAATTCAGACGATTTATCCGGGGAAGTCATTTATAAAAATCCAGGTTAATAGAACATTTGGGGCTTATATGAGAAACCTACTTAATAAAACATTTGGGGCTTATAAGTACATATGTATGTATAAAAAACCCCCGCTTAATGAGGCTTGCATACACAACGTACTAGTATTGATAAAACAAATTATTTATGTATTTGTAACGTTTCGAAAATACATGTATGTACTATAGGGTGGTCCAAAAATGCATGTGGAAAAGTAAAAGTCGGAATTTTTATGCTCCTACCCCCTAGGAGTGTTCTATACCGAGAAAAAATTACCCCTTTTTTTAATTTGAAATCAAAAAATATTTAGGGGTCGGTCAAAGCGCTCAAAGTGTTTCATGTATTTTATATGGTAAAAAATAAGTTTTCGTAAAAATGGTATAGAATTATTGAAAGGGCTCAAAGTTGTCCATGTATTTGATATGGGTAAACCAACTTTTCGTAGAAGTGGTATAGAATTCTCCAAAATCAGTAATTTTCGATCGGAAAGCTCCGTTTCTTTTCAGAATATGTCTTTCAGAATATTGTTTCATAGTAACTATATTTTATAGGTCCGCCGAAATCCCCAGAAGTTGCAAGAAAATGCAATTTGGGATAAATAAAAATCTTTAGTATTAAAAAATGGTTAAATAAACAATTGGGTATTGTTACTGGAAGTCTCCTGAAGAGAATCAGAGTTTTCTGATCGAAAAATATTGATTTTGAAGATTTCTATACCACTTCTATTTTCGGACTTACAAACGCGAAGCGAACAACAAGAAAATGGCAGAATATTCGACAAATGACGTAGAATATTCGACAGCGGGAAACATCAAGTGGATGAATTCTGCGGACAGAGAGAGAATGAGAGATAGACGGCAGAACGTTCTAGAGTTGCCATGAGTGCCAGCGCAGGTATATAAGGCCGCTGCTACAGCGCAAGGCAAGTCAGTTGCGAATCAGCAAGCTACAAGTTCAGTTTTGGTAGCAAGTTTTGTAAAGTGTTTTAATTGCCCTAACGAGTATTTTAAAGTGTTGCTACTGCATTAGCGAACATTATAGTGTTTGATGTACAATGCAATTAATTGTACTATTATTTGGTTATCTTGAGCGTTCATTAACCAATCCAGCAATACAAACCCGGGGATTTTTAGTAAATCCTTAAAGATGTTCTTACACGATATGTATTTTCATGTGTACATGCCACTTTTTACATATGCAAATGCAAACATATTGTGTAAAGGCAAATTAGATTTGTTTATGTACAAAGCAGATGCACGTACATACGAGACACACAGATAGAATCATCTGAATTTAGTTTATTTCGTTTTCAAAGAACGTATTTTTAAATAGTTAAATAAAGACTTTGAATTTGACACATACCCAATTACATATGTATGTATTGAAAATGTCACATTTACAGATGCAAATACATATCGTGTAAGAAAACCTTAAGTAGTCAAGGAGTCGTAAAAATATGCACGTTGGACTTCACACCAAGGCTTGATCTTCAACCCGTAATGGTCACTACTCTCAGAAAAAAGCATTTCCTTGAAACAAGAAACCAGTTTCCTTATCTTAGAATTACTGTTTTTTCCTTAATATTAGGAAACATTTTCTCAAGTTTTTCCTTAATTCAGGTTCATGCTAAAAATAGTGCGTCATTAATTTGAGGAACTAAATTTACTCAATATAAGTAATAATTTTGTCAGTGCTGTTAAGACGAAGTTAATTTGTCTTGTGGCAAATGTAGGCTGTGGCGTCTGGTTCAGAGATCGCAGGTTCGAGGCCGGTTGGAGGTATTTGGAGTAAGGCAGTGGTCGGCAAAAGTTAAACTGTGACTGTGTTGGTGAGAACAAGAGAACTGCTCCGCATGAGCAACCCAGTAGGAAATTACGAGAAGTGAAAAAATGTTTAACTAATCGGTCTTCAATAAAAACATATAAATACATATATTTGACACATACATATGTACATATATGTGCATCTCTCATTACTATAAAAGTATCATAATCCCAAAAAATCAAAAATCGGGTTAAGTATGCAAGAATGGACATTAGCTCTTTCTTATGATGTGTAGGAATTTCATAGCTGTAACGATTATCAGTAGCTCACTAGAACAAAATCAGCCTAAATTCATTTGGATTCCCCCACGTCAAATATTGAAAAGTTAAATAAAAAATTTAAATTCGTGTTTATCAAAATTTCCCATTTCATTATGAAATGATAAAAAATGTCTTTTAATCGTATACATATTCCCTTTAACAACCACCCTTTAATTCTTTGAAAAAAAATTAACTTTTTTCGTTAAAAAGTCGTTGTATTTCTTGTTCATCAAAATGTTTCCTTATGAAAAGAATCAAAATATCTTTGAATAGCATATTCTTTATTTTTTAAATGACTTATAACACAAAGGGTATTGCATGTCACCAAAAGCATTTTCAAGCATGTAATATTTCTTGCAAGGCAGTTTTGCATACAAGAAACAAAGCGCAACAGCCAAACCAGTGATAAAATTGATGGTACAATTGTACTTTTTTGGTACATTTTGAATTCCAAAAGTACATTGGTACTAAATCGACATTGTTGATAGAATTTTGTCAAAATATGGCGCTACGCAAAATTCTCTCGCAATACCAATGTGTATACTTGGAAATTGGAATTTCTATGGATGAAAATATTATCATCTTTTTCTACCTCATAGAAGTAAATACGTGGTGTTTCTTGACAACGAAAAACTTGCTGAAATCAACAAACAGTTGCAAAATGTTTTTTATGAAACTTCGATTGCGTTAAACGTAACTGTTTTTTTGTAAAGTTTTTGTGTTACATGCACTTAATAAACATACTTGTACGCTTTTTTTGATTACCTTGATATATTTATTTGTATTGGTAACTTAGAGTACAACTCCACAAAACATACGTATGCTGTTATATGGGAAAAGGAGGGGGGAAGACATGGGAAAGTTGGAAAGGGTGAGAGGGTAGGAACAGGACGATGACATATATAGCGACTTGTAGGAAAAACGCTCCGTGCTCACCACGAAGCTCCTTAAGCGAATGATATCTATTCTCATCGATAGTCTGGAAGAAATGCGACCCGAGGTGCTTGACCCTTAGTTTCGCAAAGGCAGGACTCCAGAGCATCAGGTCTTGAGATAATTCCATACCACTATTCACCATGCAGCTGGAGATATTCAGCCTTACTGCATGCTTACCTATAACGCAATGACCAGTTAAAACGCTCACAAGAAGTGAGAAGTGTAACTTGCTTAGTCTCACGAGCTCCCTGGACCGCCCTGGTCTACACGTGGTCAGAAGGACTTAGCCACCTTGCATCCAAAAGGTCTTTGCCCAGCGCATGCTGAGCTGACTAAACGCCCATCTGTCCAGAAGGAGACCGCATCAGATCAGCGGAGCACCCAGGCCTTGAGCAATTTCTCAAGGGTTCCCTGTATTGCCAGCTCATCGGCTACGCAGTTACCCATGATTTCGCTATGACCCGGAACCCAATTGTGCTTAATAGCGTAGTTATCCGATGCGGTCGATAAGGAAGTACAACCAGTCCTCACCGTTTTCTAACGAACCAACAAGGATCCAAGAGCTGCTTGGCTGTCGAAATAGATATTCACCTACATAAAATGGGTTACACTAGAGAGCAAACAATCCGAAGCCTCCCGTATTGCGGCTACCTTTGCTTGGAAAACGCTACAGTGATCCGGTTGCCTGAATTTCAGATTGATGGAAGAGTTTTTTCTGTTTACACTTTTGAATCTAAACGAAAATTTAAGCAGCTGTTCGGATAGCTTGAAAATTGCTGCAAACTATACTGGATATTTTCCTCTTGTGAGATACCAGATGACATTTCACGGAAATTTTGTTGCTGGACATGTTTACTGGAGTTGTTAAACGCACGTACCAATAGAGATATTTACCTAATTTAAAAACATATGTGTTTATATGTATATATGGTCTTTTAAATGTTGGTACTTTTTCGGCTGATTTAGTACTTTTTTTTTGGCCATTTGGTACAAAATTCTAAAACCTATTTATCATCCCTGAGCCAAACACGATGTTGATTCGTTGCTCTCTAGCCAACGACTGTGAGTTGATTTTCCACAATTGTGGTATGAAGCGCCGACCACTGGAGTAAGGTAAGTCAATTATGGGATGGTTATCGTTATACGTAAATTAATTTAAATCAGCATTTAATCATTCTTGTGTGATTGTGTTATTTTTTTAGCCCAAAATTAATAATTATTGTTGAGATGTATTTTTTTACTATTTTAGGGGAAGTTTAATACATACCGTAGTAATCGGACATATCCATTGGCACTACTTGAACCAGGCGGTAACTTTTTAGCAGCTCACGTAAAAACAGCTTCGCTAAGTAAAACAATAAGACAAAGTGCGGATTATCAGCCAGCATACCGTCAGCCGTCGAACTAAAAACAAAATATTAGAATTCATAGATTCACTTTTATGCTTTTTTCATTCTTTAATTTAATACTGATTTCATTTCTTCCCAAAAAAATCCCCTTTATCGGTGCAAAATACACTCAACCCTGTAAAAGGGCATGATTTTGTTCCTGGTCCTTGTCTGGCTCACGTTTTAAGCAGCCATCTGATTTTCAGGGCAATCATCTCCCCTGACAAAGCTTCAAAGTGTGGCGTTTTAAGAAACGAACACAAAGTTTTCTGTCCGTTTACTTTTATTTTATTTAATGAAGACGAAAAGAGAAAGGGGCAATCAAAAGCAGGGATGAAAAAGTAGGTACAATTGTACCTTTTTCCGACGTTTGATAACTTAAAGGTACATTAGGTACAATCACTACATTTTAGGTATAATCATCTTTTGGTCTGATCCATTTTTCTTTTTTTTTTTTCTTTTTCTTTTACCGTGCTCATATACTTGCTTGTAGGTATGAGAGAAGTTTCGCTTTCACTTTGAAGAATAAACAATTCTAAAGGAAAGTGGTCAAAAGGTGTCTAGGATTTCTTCGAATTTCGTATATTCTTTATTTGAGACAAAAGCTATTTGACCCATATTCGCATTTTGATTTCTAGAAATATATTTAAAATGCTTTCGAAGTTACTTACGGCAATTCCGATTATTTTCTCTAGACTTCCTGCACCTAATAAAAGGAATCGTATAAATTAACAGAATTTTCCTGTTGTTTTAAAAAACATGGATTTAAAAGTAAACTTCGCAAAGTCTTTTTCGCCAATATTTTTCAGTAGTCAAGATTAGACAAAAACAAAACTTCTCCGATTCCCATTAGACTATAGCCTGTATATATAAGCTATAATTTTAAATAAAATTTACTACAAAACTACAAACGAATGATATAACTTTTTTTTAGGTACAATCTGTCTCTTTTAGGTGCATTAATTTTGTGATATTAGGTACAATCTGAAATTTCCATTTTTCATCCCTGATCAAAAGGCGACATTTTTTGGTAGAAACGAAAACACCATTATTAGTGTATGTATAATCCCTAACAATCCGGACCGGATCCAGTAATTAGAGAATAAGCGAAAAGTTTGCTCTCAAAAATTAAACATAATCCAGAAGTACGGGAACGCAAAAAACCACATTTCGTGCCCAGAATTTATGAGACAACTAGTGATGTGCTGAATTTTCGGTGCCCAGTACTTAAAAAAGTTTTCGGTACCCAATACTTCTTTTTCGGTACCCGATACCGATTCTTTACATTAAACCTTCGCCATTATATGCATTTCAAGTTTAGAAAAAACTTTAATTACTAATTTATATGATATCGGCTAAAACACTTGAACTTATCGCAACTGAAAAATATTATTTTAACAGTTTTAATCTTAGTTGATCCAAGGTTCAAGAAAAATGCTCCTACGGATGAAGAAGCCTTTCAGGGGGGAGATTCTGTAACCAGTTAGCGACAAGTTTCGAATCGATATCGCACTTGTTGACGTAAAAATATTTTATATCATACGTCAACAAAACCGATGCCGATTCGAAAATTGTCGCTAACTGGTTACAGAATCTGCCCCCAGGCCTACAAAAATGATATCGTCCGATTCAGCTGGAACAAAAATGCTTCAAACAAGTAAGAGTGTCTCTGCATTATGGCCTCGAACGACATATATACATCTTTTATTTGAATCCGTATTAAAAGCTCTATTGGCTCCTACATTCGGGTTTATATAGGCGAGTCTCCCCGCAACCTTTTTTTCCATATTTTTGGGCTATTTGCGCTTTTATTCGAAACCTAAATGTTTCGGTACCGAGTATCGAGATTATTGGATACTTTTTAAATCGGTACCGAATATCGGTCAATACTTACAGGCTAACCTAATATTCGCGGCTTGCGTTTTGGGACGCATGCCGTCGAATTGGTTTTTTTGCGTCCCCCGAAATTGAATTGCATGCGTTTGCATTTGATTTCATTGAGCGAAACGTCAAATCAAAATGTCACGCAGAACAAAAATTGGAAATTGAGTTAGCTTCATACGCACGCCGTTCAATTTCGGTTGATCTCATACAAGTTGCATGTGCATGAGAAATTTTTGACAATAAATTGGCGGCATGCGTGAATATTAGGTTAGCCTGTAAAAAGTATTGACTCAGCACATCACTAGAAACAGGCAACATGTAAACACAAAACAGCTGATATGCCCTTTGACACTTTATCCATTTTTACCCGGAAAAGAAGTCCGGGCTGTTTTGGGCAGGAAGAAGAAGACACTTACGATCCAATACGTTCCAATTTCCGCTCTCTATTACCCATTTTGTTGAGTACGGGAATGATTTCTGGACTTTTTTGGGCACCCGCGGGATCTCGTGTTGCGTACGGGAAAGAACCTATTATTGCAAATAACGAGTTTACCTTCTGACTTGCGGCAATATTATTCGCGCTGTATGCTTGCAAGCTTCGACGCAGTTGCGACGCAATTTTCGTATCTTTTCACGCATCTCAGGGCAATCCTTCGACATACCAATTTGCGTTAACATATCACGAAATAAAGCCACGTGACTGTTGATTTCAACGATAAGCTGGTAAGTAGAACAAACTGAAATCAGTAATCTATAATTGCATTAAATGCACACCCAGAAAACAGTCAGCTAAATTTATTTCTGTCAACACATGATTTGGTAACTATAACAAATAATATAACTGTAACCAGATCATTTCGCACACCGTCTTCAAAAGAGTCACAACTCAAAATTTGGCATTTTTGAGATTATGCGCTAAAAATGTACGCAGAGCTTTTATTTACCTTTCAGCAAAAGCTGGAGCAAATTTTTGTTATAATTTGTTAAAAAAAAGTCTAAGGTAAAGTCGCCCTTGCCCATATGATTATCATGTGCTAAGAAATAGTTTTTCGCATTTTCGGCCAAACGTATTATATTGAGTTGTGACTCTTTTGAAGACGGTGTGCGATTTGTTGAGAGAAACATATTTAGTTAACGTAACTGAACTCTTGTATGCAAATTGTTTTCTTAATATGAGTAAAGTCAGTTTCTTAAATTTAGTAAGTTTAAGCAAATGCTTTCTCCTTTATGTTAATATTTTTTCAAACGGTGTTGTTCCAATAGGTTTTGTTGTTGTTTGTAAGTTTTCAGTTAAGTGTTTTTCTAAAATTCAGTCAAAACTAAACCAAATTTTAACATTTCACGAATCCAACTTTAAGTAAAAAACTTCTCTCCGTGAATGAGAAAACAACTTGAAAGATTACCGCAAAAATGTATACACACAATATCTACCCCTATTTGCGATTTTTATCGTAAGCGACAAAAGGTAAATTTTACAGGGGAGTTTTTCTTTATTCTCACTTAAAAAGTGTTAAAATTTATTTGGATTTAAATGGACAACAGCATTATTAAATGTTAGCTTTCTAAAAGGACTATTTATTTTTTGCATAGCTTATTTTCTAAAGGTAAAATTGCGCTTACGATATTTTTCCTGAACATGCTGAGAGGAGAGTTATCAAAGAATTGGCGCTTGCAATAGTTTTTGTTATATAATCTGGACATTTAAAAACGAAGGAGTCCGGGTACTTTAAGAATTGTTTGAAAAAAAAAAATGTATAAACACTGCCAATCAGCAGACTAAGCTCAAGGTATTTTCGTGGATGCAGTGTCTCATCATTCAATTCTCTAACAAACTAAAACGACCACCTTGGTTTTTTTACACTTTTTTTTAGAGAATAAGAAAAAATCAAAATTAAATCCTTGATCAGAATAGGTTCAGTTCCAAAATCTTCATATTATGGAGATTTTTGGCAAGTTTCTAAATCAGTTGTTATATTTCTCGACTAATCGTGTGGTTTAAACCTAGTTATTGGAGAAAAAATTGCTAAACGAAAATTTTTAATCTTGAGATTAAAATCAAAGACTGCAATTTTATAAAAAGAAGTCTGCAGTGCAAAAGTTATGACAAGTAAAAGTGATAAAATCAAAATCTTATAAGTAATTTTAAAGAAGATAAACGGCAAAATTAAATAATTTCGAAAGTGTGAATCCATATAGCCATATTTTCTATACGAGGGCAAAAATTAGAAGAAGAAGAAGAATTAAATGTCATTTTTCATATTTCTGATATGCTTTACAATCTTATAACCCCATTGCGCAGCAAGAGTTTTAAAATAAGACGAAATTGCACTTAATTTTGATGAGGTGAAGAAGCTGATTTTAGAGCATTCAGCAAGTGCCTACAATAAAGTTCTGTACACACAGTGTCGCTTACGATAAAATTTTAGGAACTCAAACGTGTAAAAATAGCGAACCATAAAATTAATTTTGCTTTTTTCCCGTAAAGGTAATTATTCAAAGTCTGTGATTTTGTATCGCGTTGTAACTAGTATTTGTAACCTATTTGCACTTACGATAAAATTGAAATGAAGGGTCCATATATACAGCTTATATTTTTCACATCAATTTTTTGAGAAAATTGGTACTATAGTTTTTTATAATTTCACTAAATTCAAATTAACACTGCTTGATTTAAACAAGTAAGAAAGTCTAAGTTCGGGCGGAGCCGAACATTAAATACCCGGCGCAAGTATTAAATATATGTTTTTTCACCTTTCCGAAACCTACCGCTAGATGGTAAGCCGGGGTGTATCAATTTTGAGTAAATTAGCGTCCTTTCAATTTCAATATTGCAGTTTCAAGCATTTCTAAAATTTACCGTTATATGAAAAGCGGCCGTAATTTTAGTCCGATTTCAATAATTTTCAACGTTTTGCTTATATGTGGCAAGCACAATAACCACACCGAGTTTGGTACAAATTGGTAGAACGGTTACCGAGATCATAAGTGGGCGGTGCCACGCCCATTTTCCAAAATTTTACCATAAACGTATTTCTTGGTAAAGAATTGTTGTAAGCATCAATTTTGAATAAATTAGCTTCAATATTTACTGATTTATCGAAGATTTTATATTTCTCTAAATTACCGTTATATGGGATGTGGGCGTGGTTATCGTCCGATTTTAAAAATTTTGGGCGATTTTGTATGCTGTACCAAGGCCAACCACTGAGCCAAGTTTGGAAGAAATTGGTGCAGCAGTTACCAAGATATACACATGTAACCATAAGTGGGCGTGGCTACGCCCATTTTCCAAAAATTTATAATATTCTTATTTTGCGTCTAAAAATTATTGTAAATATCAATTTTGGGTGAATTATCTTCAGTAGTTACTAAAATATCGCAGTATTCGTATTTCTGGAAATTACCGTTATATGGGAAGTGGGCGTGGTTACAGTCCGATTTCGCCCATTTTCAATACCAACCTACCTTGGATTAAGGGAAACCTACATACCAAATTTCGTTGAGATATCTCAATTTTTGCTCGAGTTATCGTGTACACGGACGGACGGACGGACAGACGGACAGACGGACGGACAGACAGACATGGCTTAATCGATTTCTTTTTTCATCCTGATCATTTATGTATACATTTGTCTATATCTACCTCGATTCGTTTTGGCTGTTACAAACAACCGTTATGTGAACAAAATTAATATACCTTTGTGCACAAGTACGCTCGGGTATAAAAACAATAAACTTAACAAATAATTATAAAAACCTTAAAAAAAAGTTAAGCAATGATGACAGACTGTAATATAGCGAAAGTACCAGTTTGACATAATAAAACATAACCAAAGATCATAGAAAATAAGGATGCTAGCTATGTTTATGGCTCCCTTATATTCCATGTTTTTGTGATAACGAACGTGCTGCCACGTTTATCAGGAAAATGGGTTTTGGGCCAGAGTTCACGGAGACTCATATTAAATGAATAAAGAGAACCCTGAAAATCGGAATTTAATCGGCACAAATATGAAAACTCGGGACACTTGTACGTTCCGACTTTTAAAAAATACTCAGCGAACAAATTGTCCCGCCAAAATCGGTACGAAAGGTCACCGTATACAAATATACCGTATAAAGTACCCACACAAAATTTTTAAAACCAAATTTCGAATCCTTAATCAGATATCATGGAAACTCCTAAATACTATGTTTCATTAAAATCCACAATTTTTTTTTATTTTTATGTCCGCCTTATTGGATGCAGCATTTTGGATTTTAAAAATACGGTGACGAGCAAAACTGTAATGGTCTAACACTTTTTATTTCAGCCACCGCCATCTTTCCAAATTCTAACGAGATTCATACTTTTGTTGTATATTCTTATTGGTACACCTGTACTTCCTCTTTCATAACGATTTGAAGTCAACCCAACAACAATAATCAAACCAGCAGACAAAAACGTAAACACAGGCAAGTGTTACAGTTTTTCACTCATAAGTATATTTTGAATACCTTTTTGGCAATTTTCACAAAAAAAAAAAGAATTATTAACACAATGTTCAGTATACTTTTGCTTTTTTTAGTTCCTAGATTCAATTTGGCATACCTAATGTGTATCTCTGTGAAAATTTTGGAGCTATAGCCTCCCATATATCCTTGGTTTGGTCGTACAGGCTTTCGAAGTCGTTCAGGCTTTTCAGGCGAGCAACTCCAAAACAAACTTTTTGCGCTTGACGTTTCTTCAAACCTTTGACATTTCGCACAAAATGGGGAGAATGGTGTAGGAATAAGTTTTCCGACAAAGTAGATATCGATTTAAAAATGCTAGTGCGATAAAAGTGATACTTCTTGTACCATTTCATTTTAATTTATTCATTACTTTTGTTGCCCTTTTTCATATTAATGTTCCAACAATAAATAATTTTTCCTTGCATTTTGTTGCCTAAATTTTGTGCAAAATTCCTTTAAAATATGGGAAGTGTTATCGATTACACCAAAAGCCTGAAACAAGTTCGAAATTTGGCATCTTTCAGGCAATTCAGACTTTGGTTATGGAGCAGCTTCTATACAATTGCACTAAATCATCTTTCAGGCTTGAGCGCCGCAACGCCTAAAACTCATGCCACGGAACTTCAGCTTAAAAGTCCTAGCATCAACAGCCGAAGCTCTTTCATTTGACACCTCATTTTCTAAAATCGAACTAACGGTGCAGATCTGATGATTTGGATAAAAAATGCCTTTGGGTATTACATATATGAAAAAAAAATTGTTTTAATCGCGTGCACATATCTAAACATTTTTTTTTAAATCGTGAGCACATGTCTAAAGTTCTTAAAGTTTTTTACGCGTTTTTTTTTTTGTTTGGAAGTGGAAAGTTGGCGTAATTTTAGTCCGATTTCGAAAATTTTCAACATATACATAGCTTTTTTATGCCAAGGTCAATAACTGCACTGAGTTTGGAACAAATTGATAAATCGGTTACCGATTTGGGACGCGACATTTTAGTAAGTTTTGGTTATTTTTCTTTAGTCTATTTAACGTTTATTATTTTTTTATGAGAGTACTAGCTGTACCCTGCGCGCGTTACTACGCCACCAACTAAAATAAATATGAAGGAAAGACCCTGGGCCCTTTTATTGATTTTGTTCATTTTGAAAAAATTGTGACATTGCAGCGTTTCGTTTCAATTCGATATTTATTGAAGTGCTGTGGGATACACAATATTTCTTGTTTTTCCATCTGGTGCGTAAACGAATAAATCGGAAGGTTTTCCGACGCGTGAGCAGGCTTCATAGAGCTGCCCATGTTAGAAGCATGGATTCTCCAAATTTAATCCACACACTTGCAACGATTGTCCTTGTGCTTTGTTCACAGTCATTGCGAAAGCGAGTTGCACCGGGAACTGCAAACGTTTGAATTCGAATGGCATATCTGTCGGGATCATTGGGATGCGTACGTCTTCACCTTTGAATTTTCCAGTTAAAATTGTTGCTTCGATAACATTGTTCATCATTTTCTTGACTGAGAGTCTGGTTCCGTTGCAAAGTCGTGGTGGATTTATGTTTCGAAGAAGAATGATGGGTACGCCAATTTTCAATGTTAGAACGAGCGGTGGCATGCCTGGCAAATCAAGCGAATTCAAGAATTCAGTTGGATAGTTGACAACTTCGTCTTGATTAACCACAGTATCGATGGACTTATATGTTGTCGTTTCGCCGGGTATTCCATTCTGAATAGTAAAGTTGATGGTATTGACATCGATGTTTTTGGCCGCTAATATAGCATGCGTACTGAGCCACTGATGATTTTTGTACACAGAGAAATTTACGTTTTCAAATTTGTATGGAACGCTTTATTTTTAAAAACGTTTTGACCCAGGTTTTGCACCTACAATATTTATTTTAGTTTTGAGAAAAAAACATCCTCAATTCATATTATAAAATGGATATTTTAGTTTTTAAAATGAACATTTTCAAATCGCTTTTTAAAACGATCGTTTGATAATTGGAAATTCTCATATTCAAATGAGATTCTAAAATTTTTATTTTATATTCCAAAATATGCGTTTTCAAATATGATTTTCAATTTCTATTTTGATTAAAACACAAAGTCATCTGATATTTAAAACTATACATTGTCATACATTTATTGATATATGTACATATGTAGACATACTAACATATGTATTAATTAGTTACAAAGCTTAATAACTGAAGTATATGTACATATTCTGGCTTTTTCTCCACGGGCCTTGATAATTTTGATTAACGTTGGTTAGATCCTGTAATATACATAGAAAAATTTACAATTATTATTAAATAACGGATTAGAATTTGTTTTTGTAAGCAAGTCTTACCAAAGCTTTTCTCTAATCAAAAAAGGGTACCGTATCAGCAACGTTCCTTTCATTAAGTGGCGTAACGATATCACATTTCCGCATCTTTTGCTATGTATGTATGAATGTAGCTAGAATCATCTGCACAAAATTTTTCCGACAAATAATGCAAACAGATGAAGAGTATTTCAGTTTTGTAAGTAGCTTTGAAAATTCTAATACTAAACGTTTTCTGGCACAGTGAGTAAAATGCAGTTAAAGTTGTTGCCGGTGGAACCAATGCTTTTGCACGTACATTATCTGCTGTGAAGTACACGCGCTGTTTATTCTCGAGATGCACCGCCAAGTGTACTACTGTTGGATGTCGTTCATGGATTGAAAATGATAAGATGCGCCATACTGCTTCATTGCTGCTAATGTAGCGTCCAAGGTGGTATTGGTTGATTTCATCGAGCTGTGCGGCCACATTCCCTACTCCGAAGACTGCCATGTCGCTTCCTTTGTTGACATATTTGCAAATGTATTTGATTGACTTCTTGTCGGCCGCTGTGGTGTAGTGGTAAGCAGTGCGCGCTTCCACTCCACAATGCCTGGGTTCAAACCCTGGTCAAAGCAACATCGCAAAAATATAGAAAAAAAGGTTTTTTTCTTAACAGCGGTCGTCCCTCGGCAGGCAATGGCAAACCTCCAAGTGTATTTCTGCCATGAAAAACAGCTTCTCATAAAAATACAATCGCCGTTCGGAGTCGGCGTAAAACTGTAGGTCCCTCCGCTTTGTATGACAACATCAAGGCGCACGCCACAAATCGGAGGAGAAGCTTGGCCAAACACTAACATATGTGTAAGCGCCAATCTATTATTATTATTATTTGATTGACTTCACTGAATTGCAATACTCAACATTAATGTGTGCTTTGAAGATCTTTGAGAGCAACGGTGAATATGGCACAACCCAACGATTATCGACTTCAACATCAACGTTTCGTACTTTCAGAATGATGGATTTGCCGCCATCCTCAACTGATCGTCGACGATACAGTGGGTATCCGTCATTGCCAGTGATGGTATCAGAAACCAAGTTTCTTGGGTATCATTTCGTGCATGTCCCATCAGACATGCATGGATAATTGTTATTGAATGCGCCACATGGACCACGGATCATATTTTTGGTAACGACGTCGAATAAGTGTAGATTAATGTCCTTATCTGGTATTTCTGCTGAGATGATTTAGTCAATTTGATCTGGCGTAATTTTGTTGATTAACCAAACCAAAATATGTGCATGTGGCAATCCTCTTTTCTGCCATTCAGTGGAATACATCCAGCATCGTGTCCCTCCAAAAACCTGATGCTTGTTAATAAGATCCATCAAAGCTTTAAATTTTTGTTTAAATACGCGTGCGGTAATATCATGGCGGTCCGAAGATGATTGTCCAGCTAACAGAAGTTCTTTAATTTCATCCCATGTTGGATTGCATGTGAATGTGATGAACAAGTCTGGACGGCCATATGCGCGAACGTATGTCATCGCATCTTGTGCGTATTCATGCATGTGCCGTGGACTCCCCGTGAATGTAGACGGTAATATGACCATTCTTCCAAATTCGTTTGGATTCACGTTACCATCATTAACGATTGCGTCTCGTAAATGAATGTACTCTTCAGAACGCAACTCGGTTGATTCAATCGAATATATAGGAGTCGTTCGGTTTCAATCTTCGCGTACATGTCGACGATGTATTGATGGAACAATTGTCGACATTTCAGAATGTGGTTCTCAGCGTCTTGACGAATCATCAATCGATACGAATAATAATTCATGGCACTAACTTTCTTATTCGTTTCCTCGTCTGTTTGTGCATTTTGATGTTGAAATGATATCCATCTTCTCCTCGCCAAAACAGAATCGGATACTGCAATCCGTCATATGAGCGATGAGTTTCGGATACTCGCTGAACGTCACCATTTCTACGATGAAGAATTATGTCGCGCGATTTGAATTCTTCGCCAACTATCACGATCGCCACTTCATTGATTGTTGGTGCATTGAACTGTCTTTGGTGTTGGGCAACGGGTCTTTTGTCTGCTCGAATTACAACTGCGTAGTCATCGGCTCGCATTCGTTGAATGGCGGTTTTAAACAACTGAACTAATTCATTGTGTTGATCGAAAAGGGCTTGTAACGCAGCCACGATTTCTCGTCTAGTGCCCTCATTGTAATGGCATCGTTGCTCAATTTGTTCATCACTGTTGGCCATGAAATAAATTTGAAGAAACTTGTGATCTGCGTCCGGCAAAGGTATAAGCGGTCGAACACGATGATAAATTTGCCCTTGGACTCTGAATGTTGGCATGTAATTTTCGTGCACGATGTTCGTTGCACCGAACGATGTCATGTGAAAACATGAATTGTATTTGCGGATGTTTTCCAAGAAATGCTTTGACTCACGTGTAACACCTGATAGCAACGTTGATAGTGGTTCGGGTGGTGGAGGTAATTCTGGCAGTTTAACTTTGCCACTGGCGCAGCACATTCCTGGCGTTTCGTTCTTAAATTTGAGGGCGCTACAATACATGCAAATTTTATCCATTTTTCCAATGTTGACACTTGGATGAAGACTGTAATTATTATTACTGTCATAATGGAATGCCCAAGATTTAAATCAGGGTGCAGTGTTCGTCTTGATCCGTTTCTTTCCCGTTGTTCAGTTGTCTCAGACGAACAGGCCTGAGTAGTACGTATTCGATCAGTTTCTAACCTCACTTCTTGTTGTTCAGATGATTCAGACGAATGGGTCTCAGCGGCATGTACTCGAAGATTTTCGAGCCTTAATGCTCGTTGCTCGTCTGATTCTGAGGCTCGAAATGCTCTTTTCTTCCGTGCTTGAGGTGTAGATCGGCCAATTGTTTGTCGTTTTGCCACATTATTGAACAAATTTGAATTGTATTTTAACCACAACACGATATTGCTCTGAAAACCTTTATAGTAATTTTAACAATTATTATATTTTGGTGTACTTATCACTGCAGAGTGCACATGCTTACTGCGGAATTGTTTAAATTTTTAATATTTTTAAAATAGGCCCAAAATACATTGCATATTCCGATCTCAGTAAATAAACCCTAACTAACTTACCTACCTAGGAAACATTTAAATGCCTTAACCAACTTCTATCTTTATATACATGAATAGATACGCTCTAACGATCTACTTATGTACCTGCGTGTTTAATAAAATGCATTATACTGCAGAACCCTGTTTACCTACATTCTTACGCAAAAAATTTAAAAGAGCCCAAACAAACAATTTATACTTTATTGCAAAAGTGATTAGGGCTACAAATTTTTCTGTGGAAAAAATTTAAAACAGCCGAAATTAAGCAATTAAGTAATATTTCTTGCTTCCGAAATTTGTTTTATATACTAAACATCATTCCAGGAATTATTACAATTTTTTGGAATGTTGAAGTTTCTGGCTCTCTGTGAAAAATGTAGGTCGCTATACACTGTAGTAGTTGATTTATCTATTTTCGGTTCAGTTTATACAACGTATTTATATACGTGCCCCTAGATAAATGTTTTGAATTTGAATCAAATCGGCCTGGAAATTCGGATTTTAGAAATATCTCGACTCCAGCACCACCTATCGAGTCTATTTTCACACAATATATTTATGTTTAGGTGTTTAATAAACGTTTCGAATTTTAATCAAATCGGTCTGTAAATACGGATTTTAGAAAGATCTCGACTTCAGCGCCACCTATCGACATTAGTTTTGTTCTATAACACTCCCAGTGATTATATGTACCTACCGTAAAAATTTCATTAAAATCGGTTGGGTACTTTTGACGCCTATAAAGGACATACAGACAAACATTCATTTTTATATACATATATAGATAGCTGATTACTTAAGAAACAGGATATACTAAATTCGAATTTCAGACCTTGTGCAAAAATTATGAAAATTCTGCAAAATTTGACCAAAATTTCTAACTTTTTGATCAGCATCCTTAGACAAAAGTTTGTTATTCAGCTTTGTAGCCCACCAAATTTTAGTAAAGCAAAGTGCAAATTTTAAGTATCTTAGACTTACCGTTGATTTTTGGCAATTTTGTTTTTTTTGTAAAGGGTTCTGCTCATTTTTTTCATAAAAAAAAATTTCGAACATAAATTGCAAAAAATCAAGGGTAAGTCCTAGCATCTACAGCCCAAGCTCTTTTATTTGAGACATCATTTTCGAGAATCTAACGAACGGTGCAGATTTGATGGCATGGACAAAAAATGCCTTTGCTATATATAGGGTGCATTCAGAAATGCATCAAGCCAAAGCATCAGTCTCTTTTATTTCTAAACTATAATTGTATGAACTGTCTTATTTATGCAACTAATTTCCTATTCGGGTTGCGCATATTTGACATCTCTATCAATTATAGTTTGGAAATATGGGGACTGATGCTATGGGTTGATGGCACCCATATTGTTTTTTTTTTTGTAATTTTTCTTACTTCTTTTTCGCTATGTAACTTAAAAAAAAAATAAATAAAAATGAGGTGCACGAGGATCATAGTTCAATAGTGTATTGTACACTGGAGCACACACGTATTTGGCTAAATTTTCCAATTGCAGAGGATGTGCTGATAAAATATATGCATTTTCACTTTTGCACACGCATCGTAACATTTTAAAGAAGTTTTTTTTTAATTATCTTCTAATGAGACCACATAAGCCTGCCACGTCTAGATTGATTCCTTTCATGCCCCTAGAACACTATAAAAATCGTCCGATAATTTAGGTACGTACCAACTACAGTATACTATAACAACCGCGAGTGTCAGAATTTGAAAAAAGGAGTCACGCCATTTTGACTCTTCATAACTTTTCTATTGCAAGCACATACTCCTAACGGACTGCATTCGATTCTCCTCTATAAATACTACCAGCTAATTATAAACTTAAACATGAACAATCAATGCACCAATTTTTGCAACGTAAAAACAAACAAAAATATATAGGAGAGTTATTTGTGAAAATTTCCCATATTTATTTCTGAATTATATGCATATTTAGCTAGAAAATATGTACGGTGGTCCTTTTTGTGCATTTACATAATCTCCACAAAATATGTAACCTGATTTTCGTTAATAAACCAGCGAAAATAATGTGTCCGAATAAATACTGGCGAGTCATGGGAAAGTTCGAACTAATTGAGAATTGCCCATATACTATATTTTTTTGGGGTTTCTTATTTCTTTTCTTTTTATTTCTGTCGGCCGCTGTGGTGTAGTGGTAAGCAGTGCGCGCTTCCACTCCGCAGGACCCGGGTTCAAACCCTGGTCAAAGCAACATCGCAAAAAATATAGAAAAAAGGTTTTTTCTTAACAGCAGTCGTCCGTCGGCAGGCAATGGCAAACCTCCGATTGTATTTCTGCCATGAAAAAACAGCTTCTCATAAAAATACAATCGCCGTTCGGAGTCGGCGTAAAACTG